ACTGGCTTCGGGCAGCCCCCGTGCCTCCGGACCCTACACCGCCGGAGCCTGGGAGGGGAAGTGCCCGGCCGGCGGCTGGGGTCCAGAGGCAAGGGGGCTGCCTGAAGCCCATAGCGCTTGGGCAGCTCGGCTCTTAAACAGAGCCGAAGAGTCAGGGGAGGAGCAGAGACGCCGCGGGAGGGGAAGTGCCTGGCCGGCATTTTCCCGGACATGTTCAGCTTTTTGGCAATTCCCCCCGGACGGGGGTTTGAGTGCCGAAAAGCCAGACATGTCTGGGAAAAAGAGGATGTATGGTAACCCTACATAGAAAGTCCTTTAAAGTCAATGGCCTTCTTGGCAGGAAACCCATTTCCCTACCTGTACTGGAACAGAGGCAGTCAGTGCTGGTGGCCTTTGATGGGCCTCTCATTGGTGTCCCACATGCAGAAAGAGCAGGACAGAATCTAGAAAACACTGACTTGGGTTTTTCCAACACAGGATACCAACTGGCATCTAGCACCCAAAATGGAAGAGACCAAAACAAACAAAACTGGACTTCAAACAAAACAATGTTCACAATTTGATACCAACATACTCCCCTCCGTCACAAATACCACTTTTGAACATCATTTATTTCAAAGCTATATAGCCAAAAAAAAAAGAAAGAAAGAAAAGTCCAAGGATAGTTTTGAACAATCAGTCTGTTTAGAACACAAAGTGAACCAAAATGATTTTAAATGCTTTTTTTGGCGGGGGCTCCCCGACCGTTCTTTGCTAATTTACTGATATTACTTTTCTGGATGTTTTCTAGGGCCTCAATCCTGCAAAATCTTTTACATGGCATTTGCCAGAGCAGTTCTAGAGATGTCATGTCTCAATTCGCAGCATACTCACTCCCTGGTCCACGTAGAGCTGTGCATTTACTGCCATCTGCACTAATCTGTATCATCACCAGAATTATACAATGGTACCCCATTCATTCCACATATTTTCATCTGTCACTTTGCTGAAAGACAATACTTATAGGATAGTTAAGCACTGGAACAGTTTACCTAGGGAGGCTGTGGAATCCCCACCATAGGAGGGTTTCAAGAACAGGTTGGACAATCACATGTCAAGGATGATCTAGTTATACTTTATCCTGCCTCAGTGCTGGGGGATAGACTTGATGACCTCCCAAGGTCCCTTTCAGCTCAACATTTCTAGGATTCTATTATTATGGTAATGCCCAAAGGCCACAGTCAGGTCTGCAGAAACAGACAGTCCCAGACACACTCAGCAGAAGTGTGAATTGATTAGGTTACTGTTAAGGACAGACAGCTGGATGATGACATGATCCCATTTTGTGTTACTGGAAAAAATGAGTTTAAAAAAAAAAAAAAAAGACAGAAAAAGGCAAGGAGAAGGGGACTAGTCACAGCCCATCCCCTGCCTAGCCAGGATCGCAGGCTGGGTTCCGTAGGCCTCACAGCAGAGGAGAGCCTTAAGGAGGGATCTGAAGGAGGATAATTCTAACGTGAATACCGTAGGGGGACTGTCACAGGGCCCACACAGGTTTCCATTTGCTCATGCCTGTGCCCTGTGTTGGCTGGTTAAAATAAAGGGTCCCCATGCTGCCTTCAGTGCTTCACTCGTGTCTTTATTTACAGTGAAACAAAGTTATCCCCCCTTCTCCCCCAACAGCTATCCCCAGTCAGACCCTCCCAGCCCATGAGGCTCCTTTCCTCTGGTGAGGAGACAGAGATGTAACCCTCCTACCCCCTTCCCAGGCTAGCCTCCTGACTGAGCTTTTCTCAGGGCTTTTATAGGCCTCCTCCCCTTCTCAGCCCAGCTGCTGCTACTTAACTCAACTAGTAGCAGTGAGCCAGCCCTTATCAGGGCCCGCAACTTGGCTCTCTGCTGACTGCCTGGGCCCCCCTACCAGACATTAGGGCTTTAGCCAGCATTTTAGCAGGGCATTCAAGGGGTTTACCCCTGCCCTGCCACACCACACATCTTCCCCCCTTCAAGACTCATAGAATGTCAGGCTTAGAAGGGACTGAGGTCATTTAGTCTAGTCAAAGCAGGACCCATCCCCAACTATTCCTCCCTCCCTCCCTAAATGGCCCTCTCAAGGATTGAACTCACAACCCTCACTGGGTTTAGCAGGCCAATGCTCAAACCACTGACCTATCCCTCCCCCCCCCCACGCAGTACTTAATGCTGGTGACCCCAGCTTCACAGCAGCTGCCCCCTATCCTGTTACATCCAAAGCAGTGATGGAGGGGGATTTCCTAGCAGCGTGTGATGCAGGGAGACAGATGTGGGTGGTGTTGGGGCAGGCGTGTATAAAGCTCACTTGTAAATACGTATGCCCAATAATGCTGTAATCGCTGCCATTACATTGGATCCCAGGTTTATGACTGTTTGCAGCCTCCCGACCTACAACCTTGTCTTGCAGCGCACCTGAGCCGTGAGGCTGTCCTGCAAATTGTAAGCTTTGTTTGTACAGCGACCTGCCTAGTCCATTAATGCGGTCCCTAAATGCTATTGCACTGCAAATAATTAACTGCACAACGCCTGCATGTGCACATAGTGCGTGCCATCCTAGCATTACTCAGCTAGTCTCCCGTTCCCCTTTCTGCCTCATGGGACTCCTGCCCTGCTGAAGAAGCTGCCAGGCTCCACCTGACCCTGACCCTCTTCGCCGGACAAATCCACCCCTCAGCAGGAGCTCTTGTACCCCGCTGTGGGTTTTTGAGGATCCTCTCCAGGGTTACCAGCCCTCCCCACCCCCCCATCTGCAGAAGGGACAGGTCTCCCCTCTATGTCCCTTAGCCCATCAGAGTCCGCATTCTTGCTCTACCGGCGGCTGGTGGCCTAGGTACCCCACTTCTGGGTTCTGTTCCTTGGCCCCCAGGTCCTTGCCTTCCTCAGATTCCCGAGGGCTACACGCCTGGCACCCCTCCCCCAAGGGTCCTTTGTTGCCACATAACCAGCATTTGTTAAAGTCTTCGCTTTGTTGTCTAGGAGTTTCACCCTGGCTCTGGGGGAGGGGGTTCTTTTGCCTTTGGGGATTCAGGCTGCCCCTTGCCCCCTTTTACTCCTTCCCTTGGGTACTCCATTGCCCTTTCCTCAGGCTCACGTCCCGACTTCGGGCTTCGCCGGACGGGGGTCCCCAGTCACTCCCCAATAGGACTGGGTGTGATTGAGCAGGGAGCGGGGCAGATTTGACCTGGGAATGTTGCAGGGAAGTTGCATTAGGGATGACGGACTTCCCTTGAAGGAAGCTACCTGAGCTGTAACCTGAGCCAGGAGGCGGGTTGGGAGAACTGACACCTTCTGCCCCAAAAAAAAGAAGAACAGGAGTACTTGTGGCACCTTAGAGACTAACAAATTTATTAGAGCATAAGCTTTCGTGGACTACAGCCCACTTCTTCGGATGCATATAGAATGGAACATCTGGACCCATGGAAAAGAAGCCCTTGAGGAATTTCACCATGATTTCAATAATTTCCATCCCACCATCAACCTCAGCCTAGATCAATCCACACAAGCGGTCCATTTCCTGGACACTACTGTGCTAATAAGCGATGGTCACATCAATACCACCCTATACCGGAAACCTAGTGACCGCTACACTTACCTACATGCCTCCAGCTTCCATCCAGGACACACCACACAATCCATTGTCTACAGCCAAGCTCTAAGATATAACCGCATTTGCTCCAATCCCTCGGATAGAGACAAGCACCTGCAAGATCTCTATCAAGCATTCTTAAAACTACAATACCCACCTGCTGAAGTGAAAAAACAGATTGACAGAGCCAGACGAGTACCCAGAAGTCACCTCCTACAAGACAAGCCCAACAAAGAAAATAACATAACTCCTCGAGCTGTCGCCTTCAGCCCCCAACTAAATCCCCAGTGTGACATCAAAAGAGACCTGAAGAAAATCCTGAAGGATGATCCTTGGCTCCAGAACATCATC